GCCCTCTTAGAATTTTTTTCACTAGCCACTGACCAGAGATTTGGAATAAAAAATTGTACCAGTTGAAAATGAGGCCAAGTTAGAAAACCGATGTGTGTGTGTGTGTGTTTTTATCTTCTAAATGAGTTGGTTAATTAAAGCCTGGTTTTTTAAAAACGTCAATTTCTTGACTGTCCCTTGTGCCATACCAGTTTCATTTTCTAGCAAAAGGGTTTTTGTTTTGTTTTGACAATGGAAGAAAAGTAGATAACAAGAAAAGAGTTTAATGCTAGTCAGGCAGAAAGCAAAGCTCGGGGTGTCCCTCCGGCAGGTCTTGTCTGTCAATGTCCTCTAATTCATGGTGTCAACCTACCAAGGAAACAGTGAGTTGGATTAAAGAAATAGTAAAACTAGTGTTGGGCACCCCCCCCCCCCCCGGCCAATTACCTTATACAAGAAGTAGCTGTTGAAAGTTAAGTGTTTTAAATAATTGGGTCACTGAACAACATAAATTTTAAAAAATGATTTGTTTTAAGAAATTGGGCCCTCAACCTGAGTACAGTACACTCTGGTTTTCTGTGACCACTATCAGAATTCCATAGACTCTTACAGCTTATGGGGACTTTAGAAACAGTCTTGTCTTACCCTCTTGATTTGGAGAGAGAAAAATGAGGCCCAGAGATAATTAAACTTGCCAAGAAATACTGATTAAGTACACCAAAAAGTAGGTTTTGGGATCTCATCTTCAGATGGCCGATCTGGGCATTTTCCCACCATACCATCACTCTGAAAATAAGTGATGTTTGCAAGTATTATCTAAATGTTAAATTTTCTGATGATTACTAACATAAAATGTTGATATCAATTTAGTGCTAATTATTTAATCGACCTAAAGATAGGCATATAAGCCTAAATGTTTGTAACACTTTGAAAAGGAATCAAAACTAGATTTTAATATAAATTATCCATTCTATGGGTAGAATAAAAAAGGATTTAATGTGATTGCTAGAATTTGTATTCTCATGGGGCAAACCTTCTCTAGGTGTCATTAAGTGCTACCCACAATATTTTAATTTTTTTAATTAAAAAAAATTTTTAATGTTTATTCATTTCTTGAGAGAGAGAGAGAGAGAGAGAGCGAGTGTGAGTGGGGGAGGGACAAAGAGAGAGGGAGACAGAAAATCTGAAGCAGGCCCCAGGCTGTAAGCTGTCAGCACAGAGCCTGACGCAGAGCTCGAACCCACGAACCATGAGATCATGACCTGAAGTCTGACACTTAAACAAATGACTCACCCAGGCGCATCATACCCACAATCTGTTTTAAAAGGGGAAAATAGAATTTTTTAAAAGAATATAGAATGAAACCAATAACTCGCTTATTAGAGAAAATTTCTAATGGGATCAGTCAAGGCAGTAATCAAAAGCAGTGTTAGATGTATATGGTTTAAGGAGGGATTTGTTTGCAATTCCAGTGTCCAGAACTGCTCTGTGCTATCACAGCTCATCTTCACGCAGTCTTGAGAAATCCCCATGAAGGCGGCTGTTAGACTGGTGGATAATGGAACAGGAGAACAAGTTAGGGGAAAGCTTCATAAGTGCTGTCTGTATGCATGCATCTAAATAGATAAGGCATTGATAAAGGGGCCAAAGAGTTCCCGCAGAAAAAGTCTAGAGAGAGGGATCAGAGCTAATCCAAGCAGGACATCAGACCTTAGAATAATGTTCAGAATGAGGGTGATATTCAGAAATGCTGAATATAGCAAAAATAGCAATAAAGATTTGGGGAAAAGCAGTCATTTCTGGCCACTAACCATGTTTGAGTTTCTCATACAATAAAGTGGTTAAGAGTGAAAGGCCAGTTTCTCACTCAGTATGTATTGCTTGTGATTAATCTGAGGTCTATTCTTAGGAAAGAGGTTGCCCTGGTTCTTTCTCACTGGCCCTGAATTTCTAGTGGGGGGACCTTTGGCAACTCACCCGTCTTCTCTTTGCCCCTGTTTCCTTCTCACTAAAATGAGTGCGGTGACTTCCTGCCCCACCCAGTAGATCACATGAAGAGCACAGTGTGTAGAACGGTTTTTGACACAATAGGCTGTGCATGTGTCATTACTGCTGCTGCTTCCCTTACAGCTGAGACAATTTATGCAATCTTGTTTATTTTTCCACTTGTTTCTCCATAACAAATAAAAAAGAAGGGAGGCAGATGGTTCAAAGAAGAACACATGTCAGAGGCTGGTAACACCTAGGACCCAGTTGCTTCCCAGGAATATCAGACATGTACTTTCATCAGCAGTTTCTTTCACGGACTTCTTAGGAGACAGTCTTCCCCTCGGTGTGTCTCAGTGTCCCGTGCTCTTTTGGGGGGGGGGGGACTCCCGAGAACAATTGCATGCATCTCTTCCCGGCCTGTGTCTCTGCATAACAGCAGCCGCACGACATAGGAACAGAGAGTTGATTCGCAGATGTGTTTCACTTGGCTCCTGGAGCACACATCTGTGTAGAAGAACCAGGATCGCACAGAGGAAACTGGAGACACGTTGCCAAAATGAAGAACTCTGAGGATCACCCCCAGGAATATAGTGATAACAGTACTTTTACGAGAAGCTTTTATATACGTTAGCTCATTTGATTTTCTCAGCACTGAGGCATGTGAAATAAAAATGAAGCTGTCTTCCCCCTATTTTGACTACAGTATCTAGGTCTACTCTTAATATGTTTACATTATTAGAGCATTTCCAAAGTGTAAAGATTTCTCTCCCTATGCTAATCTTCAGCTTCTAAAATGGTCTCCTGCTCTGTTAACTGCGACTATTAAGCTTACAACAGATGGGCTCTCGTGGGACCCCAGACAGGGGACAGAATTTTGTTGTAGTTTTGGACATTTGCCCTAGTTTGAGGGACTAGAAAGACCTGGCACCTTCTATTTCATTTTATAGGTTCAAATACCGTTGGCTATCACTGTGGGTTTTGGCTTGCTGAATGCACTGATAACTGGGGTTTTGCTAACTTTAATTCTCCATTTTAGGAGGAGAGAAGGGTTCAGCATTTACACTGCCATTGTAACTATTTTGTTAACATGTTAAATAATAGTCAAGGACTGTTCTAAAAACTCATCAGATTTCTTAAGCTTTTTAAAACCGTGCAAGTGTAATACAGTCTAACTTCAAAGCTGCTGCTATAGCCTTTGTCCCCATCATCTGGCTTGTTCAGTCTCCAGATGAGTTCCGATATTCTTTACTGCCAGCCTTTAAGGCACCGTAAGCACTGATTACTTTGCCTTCTTTTTGTGACTACTTAAAGAATAGTTTTGAGAGGCACCTGGGTGACTCAGTTGTTAAGCCTCTGACTTACGCTCAGCTCATGATCTCACAGTTCTCGAGTTCAAGCCCCACATTGGGCTCTCTTCTGTCAGCCCAGAGCCTGCTTCGGATCTTCTGTCCCCCTCTCTCTCTGTCCCTTCCCCTTCTCAAAAACAAATAAACATTTTTTAAAAGCGCGGCGGGGGGTGGGGGGGGCAGCGCCTGGGTGGCTCATTTGGGTAAGCATCCAACTCTTGATTTTGGCTCAGGTCATAATCTCACGGTTTTGCCGGTTTGAGCCCCACGGGGCCCTCTTGCACTAACCTCGCAGAGCCTGCTTGAGATTTTCTCTCTCTCTCTCTCTCTCTCAAATAAATACACTTAAAAAAAAGAATAGTTTTGAAATGACATTTCTTATATCTCACCCCATAGACCTGCCTCAAAAGATTTGCTTAGAAAAAGTGTTTTTGAGATAAAGTATAGGACTGAAATGAAAAGTCCCACCTTGAAACTGCTATCTCAAGGACTGAGATTCTTGACATCAGTTAATGGGTAGTGACTACTTCATTGTCTTGTAGCAATGTACCTGGCCCAGCACCTTCCCCAAGGGGACAGGGAATAGCAGTTGTACCAAGGTGCTCTCTGAATGTGAAGCTAAAGACTGAAATTGCCCTCTGAGTCTGTTTGATCACACAAATGACTTACAGCCACATAGGTCTGCAAACATGCCTGGAAAGCCCCAACTCCAATGCCGTCTTCTGATGAACTCAGTGTTGCCGTGGAGCCGAAGCCACAGCCCCCTAATTTTGGGGGGAGGTGAGGGTTCAGGCTGGCAGGGAGCTGCCATCCACAGAAGCCCTGAGGGCCCTGGTGCTGGCTTCATGTCACCCTGTTTTGTAAGATGAGTAATGTGTGTTCATTTTACTACTTTCCATCCACTGTCCGGCTTTGTTCTACCTTCTCATCTGAAGCAGTACCTAGTTTTGGTTACATCAAATGAAACCCTTCAAAATTTTTACTGTCTTCTGGAGTCTGAATAAACTAACTAAAAAAGTTTAATTAACAGCTGGCCAAATCCTGTGGTCATTTTTTAAGACAACTTTCCTTCTTTTGTGGATTTCATCCAGACATATAATTGAGCAATACTGTCCTCAGTGTGACACAGAGATCCTTTGTGAGATCCTTTGTCCTCACAAAACACACTGTGCCCTTCCCAGTACTATTGTGTCCCCGAAGGAAAGCAGTATCATAACATGGTGTGGCTGAGTTCCCACTTAAATCCTCCTACAGTCAATAACACCGTAACAACTTTTGTGGTGACAGATGGTAACTAGACTTACTGCGGTTGCCATTCCGTATTGTTTATAAATGTCGCATCACTACATTGTACACCTGAAACTAACACAGTGTTTTATGCCCTTTGTTCTACAGTTTTTAAAAAATATACGCTACAAAAGTGATAAAATAGTAAATTTCTCTTGATGCATGGTTCAGAAAATGTCCCCTTGTCACCCCTAACTCTGACTTTCGCACTGTCTTGTGTCTAGCCAAGTGGACAGTCAGCTGATTAAAGCCAACATTTGAAGACAGATATCTTCGATCTCATTGTCTTCTAATGTCTTCTATGTAGGCCACTGCCTAGATGCTGTGAAAGTCAGATGTGCTTATGGCCATTGTGTGTACATATCTGGCTGTGTGTTACTTTTTTTTCTTTCTATCTAGGACCAGGAAGAAAACAAGGGAGCAACAAGTTGGCCTGAATTCTACATTGATCAGCTCAATTCCATGGCTGCTGTAGGTATACTTTCTGTTCAGTAGCACAATGTAAAATGCAAATTTGTCACACAATTGCGCCGGAAATTCTCTTGAGTAAGAACTACCAAATGTCATCATCTTTCCAAACTCCATTCCAAACACTCAGTGTTGGTGGCGGCTGCAGGGGGCGGGGGAAAGGAGGGCAGAAGTGGTACTTGGCAAAATGATTTTTTTCCAATATGTTTTACATAAAATCAGCACACACTAAAATACAAGTGAGTTTAATGTTATAAGAGGAAATGTAATCTTAACTCTGGCTTATGTTCAACTTTAACTTGCAATTGCTCTTACTGATCATTTGGAGCTTTGTTATAGCAGCACTATTCTACAAGTTAATACCATTTAAAGGTAATGCAATGAAACTATTCCTTCTCTCTTCTCCTCCCATTCTCTTTTCACTGAGGACTTGCCTACTAAGTTCCTGGACTCTTGATTTCACAGGGCAGCCAGGTACTCTTTTACTCTGTTAAATTAACAAAAGGAGTCTATGGAATAGGTGGTTGAATGAAGAGGCACCATAATTATGCCGAGATGTCCGTGGGAAATCTTTGGTTAAATAATTGCTTGAAATCCATTCTCAGTATCTGAAATACGCACCTTTATCACATGGACGTCTCTGTAATATCAGCGTTCTGAGCAGCTTGAAGGGCACCTATCGATCCCAGCTAAGATACGCAGCAGAAAACAAGTCGTCAACCTCTGAGTGTTAGCAGCTCAAATCCTGCTCATGTTGATAAAAACCGGAGATTGCCCACAGCGGAACAGTCTCGTGATTTTAAGAGTCACTCTGTTAGATTCAACTTTGAGTTTATAATATCCAAGCAAAATGATAGCTTCCATGACAAATACTTTCCTCTACCTCTTCCTTTCCTCCTCCCGCTGAGCCTTTTTGGAGAGTTAGCTTCTTAAGACTTAGGGCAGACATTTTTAAAAACATTGTCTAATATTTTGCTGCTGCTTCTGCTGCAAACGTTAAAAACTGGCTAGAATATATGAATCACTCCGACTTTTACTAAACTTTCAGAGGGCTTCACTTTTAGTAACTTCCTCTTTTCTAGTTTTTCCTTTGAAGATACTTCTGCTCTTGCACAATGAATAATAAACAGCCTGGTAAATGTGAACGGGGCTGTATAAATTATAGAAGAAACTGCTAAGCTTTTGCCCTGAGGATTTCTAGTCTAAAAGCAGAAAATAATCTCCACAGCCATCCAGGATAAGGCATCTTGCACAGTGGCAGAAATGAGAAAAGGGTGATCTCAGCATTTGTATGAATATGTTAGCAGGATGCAAGGCTTGTGGTGACCATCAGGGATTTTCTGTGTATCACCTAAGCAGTAATAATTTAGAGTCATTTGCATTTGCTGCGTGTGAAGATTGTATTCTCAATTCTTGTTCCTGGCTGTTAGAGTGGGGGAAAAAAAAAGAGCTGTGGGCAGGCTGTCTTTCTTTCTAATTAAGTCAGCATTGTTTGATGCAACAAGGGAAGTTGCTTCTTCGTTAATGAATTCACTTCTATCAATGGAGAAGTACTAAATACCATGGCATTTTCTTTCCTTCAAATTTTGGGGGCAGTTAGGTTAATTTGTCCTTTAGTGACTTAATCCATGCCTTGTATGGAGTCAGCCTGGCTCATTTCCTGCACTAGAAGGTCTGTGATGTGCCAATATGAGGCACTTCTTTAAGAGCCTCCTTTCTCCCTTGGCCAGCTCCTTGGACAACCTTTTGCTACATTCATGAGTCATCTACATTTTAATTATATTTGTTTCCTAATCCGAAGTCCTCTCCAAGAGTGTCTCAAGGCAATTAAATCGTCAGTCACTTGGCTATTCTTTGTGTTTAACAACTAACAAAGCTTTCTAATGCTCCTTTCAGAACAGAGCTGGCATCTGTCTAGGGTTAAAGGCAAAAAGCAGTAACAGCTCATGAGTCAACGAGACCTTAGAACTCCTGCATATATAAAGAACAAGGAGTTCTGATGAGACCAAAAACCCTATGCTGAATTTTCTGTCTTTCTCACCAAATGTGTTGCCACCACCTCCTCCTATAGTTCTGGCTGATCTCTCTGATAACTGTATTGGAGAAGTCCCAATGACACCCAGCAGAAATCCCGAGACATTGTCCCTGGGGACTGGAAACACATACAGCTCTTCCATATCCTTTCATGGCCTGGCAGCTGGACTCGAGCTCTCTAGCTTAGAGATTTGTTGGAGGGGCATTATCCACATTGTTATCATCCATTGTCTTCGGCATCAACAGCACCTACTGCCATTGAGTGTGAAGCATGTGACAGGCAGTATAACAGGCACTTTATATGTTGTTTTAAATCCTTATAAGCACCCGGTGCTATAAGTGCTGTTGATAGATAAGGAGTCAGGACTTGGAGAAAGGTTACCTTGCCCAAGGTCACCTAATTAGGAAACAGTAGAGCTGGAATTTAAACCTATCAGTCTGAGCTCACAGATTCCTTTCTAATTTGCCTCTCACTAATTCAGTTTTTAAAACCCTTTGGCAAGTACCAGAGGCCTGGTGATCCCACCCTCCCCCACCCCCACCCCGCCTCCAACTTTTCTGAGGTGGGGCAGGCATCTGTTCCCGTTAATGCCTCCAGAGTCTGATGAACTGTCCAGGTCGAGAACTGCAGCACTTACTGGTCTGCGAAGCCGTTTGTGGAACAAGTTCAGTTACTTTACGTAAGCCTCTTCACAAGAATGCTTTGTTCTTGAAAGGACCCCTGAGTGATCGGTTGGCTTTTAAAGAGTGAAAAACAGTGTAATAAAAGTACAGCCCAACAGGTTCGAGAAGGACCTGGCCCTCCTTTGTATGTGGCTTCTCCTCTGCGCTCTCAAGGAGGAAGATGTGAGGTGAAGTGCAGCGTGCTTAGCTGACTGGCTTATTGACTTCACACCAGTGAAATGTCTCAAACAGGAGCTTGGTTCCAGACTCCCAGCCAAGAATGATTTCTGTGCTTGGTTTGTCCATCTTTCTCAGACTTGCGTGTTCCAATGTACAGCTTAGTAGCCTTCACCACAACATCCTCTGCCAGCACACACTTTGTCTTTTGCCCACCTCTCAAGTGAGCAGGGATTTGGTAAGTGCATAGAGCACCCCGGGAGGCTACCACAAGCCTGGGCTGTGTAGACCAAGGTGCACGCTAGATGTTTAGCCTAGCAGCCATCTTTAGAAAGGTGGGCGTAGCTTCTTTTTCTACAAAAAGCTGCAAACCAAGCCTTCTTCCTACATGTGAAGCTTGAAAACTTTCGACTTTATATAAATTATGTTGAAAAGTCACATTACAGCGACACGTCCATCTACATATCCTCAGTTTTCTCAGCACAACAAACACAGTCTTAGAATCAAATCTAATTGCATCACATGCAGAAAAGAGTATGTCACCTCTGTTTTGAGAGGAAGGTAATGGTCCTTATACTGGGAAAGGAAATTCCGATTTAATTTTCTTGACTTTCCATAAATCTCCCAGCTCTACTAGGGAGAGACTTAATGTAGTCCGTCTTGATTCAGATGTTTCACCCTCTCCAAGATTGTTAAAAGAGTAAATACATACGTCTTTCTTTAGAATTAGTGAACCATAATAAGAAATGTGTGTCTCTGTGTGATTAAGTTTAGGAACGAGCGGTGATGTTCATGAACGGCTTTATTCTGAGCTGCAGATTCAAAAAGTGATTGCTTAAGAGTCTAAACAAGTTCAGCTTTGCCTTAGGGGATTAAACATACTTGGCTGGATTCATGCTGAATTTTCCAGGGAATACGTCTCCTAGAGCTCTGAAGAAATTTATTGGCTATTTCTGCACATAGCCTCTTCCCCTACCATCCATTGGTCACAGCTGTCTAGGCGCATCACCAAGCAAGAGGACAGTGTCAGCAGAAACAATAACCAGTTTGAAAAACAAGATTTTACGGATTTTTATTTCAGTTGCCTTAAATGATACTGATACATTTGTTTGTTTGGAGGTTTACCCCCTCCTAGTCATGAAGTCAAATTTAGGCTTCAGTTAACATTTAGTTACTCAGTGCTGATACTATTAACTTAAAAGAAGTAAGTAAAGCCACCCTTTGATGATTTGTGGTCCTGAAAGAAGGGGAGAGACTGGATCATTGAGACACATGGATAAGAGCCAACCCC